TCCTGGGTGACACATGAAGCAGATGATTGTATGACAATGATTCTTAGGCATTCTCTTACTCAGCAAACAAGCATCCCAGCATGCTTTCTGTAAAATAAAGCATCCCTGTTGGACGTTTCACCCAAACAAAGGGTAATTTAGAAGAAATAAGGATCAAATAACTCATATGCTGGTCAGCATGCATTTTGCCTTCGGGGCCTCCATTATGTTGAATGAAGAGAATGTCATTACAGAATTTTAATCAAGGCACAAATGCCCTTATTTACTGAAATAAATACATAATTTTGTCCATGAACCATGTTCGCAATGGGTATGAATAGAGGCTTTTGTCTTTGTCAAAGTCAATGAGTTCATTGATCATCTAGTGGTCTAGTGGAGTCTTGAATTGCTCTCAGCGTCTTGACTCATCAATCATTTTCATCCTGTCTGACCTTTGCTGAACTAAAGGAATTTTCACCAAACATCCATCCCCAAAGTGTCATTTTCCTAATTATGACATGCACAGTATATCATTTGCAGTCACTACTACAAAAGTAAGCTAGCTATAATGCTACAGAGCTAAATGATTTTTTTCTAATAGAAACTCCATGATACCATAAGAATGTCCATCATCCACTGACACATGTATATAACAAAACATTACCAATAACACCAGTAATCTCTCTAGATACAGCCCAAACTGAAAGAATTAAGAGAGCTCTTGTCTCTCCTTGCGCTGTCATTTTTACAGAGCAAAGCAACCAATCAATAGCGAGGCGGGCATGGCAGACTCCAGCCGTAATCCTCAAAATATTCTTATGTGGATTAGCTTCTCCCCCAGCCATTTTCATTTTCACTCTGTAAGGTATTAGTCTGACAGCCAAGTGGAGCAAAACAAATAATACACACTTCAAAGGGGAAAAAATGTCTAATAACAGCAACCTGGTTAAGCTGCTGCTTGCCTTTTCCCTCTTTCCATATAAACTTATTTGCTGCAGGCTCTAAACAAATTATACCTACTATATGCTGTGTACTAAATGGTCATCTGATTTGAAAGCATCTGCGCTGGCTAATGGAAACTGAGGAAGTCCCTGAAATATGAAGCTGTTGTCAAAGCAAGGTTGTTAAGCATAAGTCCCTGTTTCTTACATTGGAACACACACTGAGTGGAAAGGGCACAATTAAACAATGCTAAAAGCCACATAATAACGTGCAAAGAAGAAACTCCAAGCATTTAAAGGGTCAGAGTGGGTAGTAAGGATAAATGAATGGAATTTTGCACACGCTTGAAACTGAAAGCCATATAAAGGGCTTCTTAACACCAAGGATGTAAGATAAGTGTAGAACAAATATAAAGGCATATTTGTAAAAGGCATTGAAAATATGAAAAAAAACAGCAAAGCCCATGTCACAGCTGTGGTGATGATAATTGCGAAGAACATCAATGTTGTAGGAATCTCTTGTCTTTCCAACTGATAGATCAATAAAAAGTTAAAATCGTTGATGATAACCAATCAGAAGTTCATTCAGAGTTCAAGTATTTAAAGCAGCAGATGACACAACTACAGTGCAGTATTACAATAAATGGAACAATACGGAGCTTGGTGTGCATAGTTAAACTTCCTGTGAAAATAAAATAAGGCTTTGTTTTAAATGTTAGTATCAGTATGTTAGTTTTAAAGATATCCGTAAACTATTGTGCGACAAAACAGTCACAAAATTTGCATTTAAAAAATAAAAACCTGATATAAATATACAAAGCTTGCAGTTTGTCAGTTCTGTCTAAATCAGAGGTGAATGGCCAAAGTAGGGCCCATGGGCCAAAGTTGGTAACCTTTGGTTTGTTCCGCCATCCTATCTGAAAAGAGAGGGAAAATGATGGGGAGTTGGTTGTGGGCAAATGCCTTTGTTTCTGTGTTTAATTGAGGAGCTACAAAAAAGCCAACAAAAATTAAACGTTTTATTTAAATGTTGTAAATGAATCAGACTTTTAAAATGTAAATACTGTCACTTGATAGATGCACAAGACATCGGCGAGCAAATCAAGACAAAGAGAGGACCAGCTTAACTAGTGTATTCAGCATTGAACTCCATTGTGTTTTTTAAATGGAATTGTTTATGTTTTCACTAATAAGTTAGTGAAATGTATTTATTTGAAAATAAATTAGAAATTACCCATGTCATTTAATGTAATACGGTTTGGGATATTTAACTTTTTGGCCCTTTATAAGAAAAAGTTTGCACACCCCTGGTCTAAATGTATCAATGATTTTTTTTAGACATCACCTAATACTTTAGTTTTTCATCTATTTTTCTGACCGTTCAAATGCTCTATAGTATCTGGCATGTCCCGCCCCCTTCAAGTCCCTTTTCATTTGATGCGCTTGATCTCAACCACTCTCACTGGCATGAGCTGTGATAAAAACGAAACACTATTAGTTGTTTTATTTATAAAGAGGAAGTGCTACAATGTGTCCCGCCCTATCTTTTTATTTCAGTAGAGATTATATCAAATTTTGGATTATAAATGCACATTTGAAAGCACTTCACTGAACCTTTAATGTATAGTTATTTTTAGCTATCATTCCTTGTGTAAACGAGCCTTAAAAGAAAAGAAATTACTTACTATTCACTTAACCTCAAGTGATTCCAAACCTTTACGAATATCTTTATTCTGTTGAACACTAAAGAAGATATTTTGAATATGAAAACCATTGAAACCCATCGTAAGTAAAACAAGTACTATGGAATTCAATGGTTACAGGTTTTCCGCTTTCTTTAAAATATCTTATTTGTTGTGCAACAGGAGGGGAAAAGGTAAAACAGGTTTGAAACAAATAAAGGCTGAATAAATGATGACAGAATGATCATTTTCATCCCTTTAACGATTTAATTATTCAATAAGAATCACAGGGTGTTGATTTCAAATAAGTTAAAACGCTTTATAAATAACATTATTGCTAACAAATTTAAACACTGAAAGTAAAGTCCAATGTGATCACATTTTGTATTTAAAAATCTATTCAGACATTTAACATATTTTGTAGACTCATACAATTTATTAATGTTGACTGCCATCACCTCCGTTGGTCAAACAATGATAAACTAACCAGCAATAACTGCATTACTCATCATCACACATTAGGCTATACTGACTGCACTGAAAACATTGTATTACACGTGGTGAAAGATTAACATTTTACAGTCACATGACCATGATGAAATCACAATCTGACAAAATCACCATAATGATTTCATGTTAATTGCAAAAATCATCCTAAGGGGACATCTAGAAACTTAGAAGCAAACCGGTTTTTCTACGGTGTATGTCTAAACATATCCTTGGCAATGAGCACCGCAACCAAGCGCATTTCCAGAAAGTCCCTTGTTTTGACAAGACGTGTGTCTAATTTCTCCTCCAAAAGTGAAAGCAGCTTTGTTTTGTGTGACACCTTATTTCCTAGCATCGTTATGCGGAGAGATTAATCCATACACACTGTCTACTCTGTAAACTGGCGACGCGGCAAACGCAGAACCTCTACATCGACGCAACGCGACAAAACACCCGTTATAAACAAATAGGCGATATTTGCAGCATCCGAGCATTGCACAAGCCACGTTATTATCCTAAGTGAAAAGATCCGCACTTGTTGACTACGAATGGGGCTGTTGTGAAAAACGCACTCAAATGCTCTTCTCTAAAGAATATTTAATAAAGGATGGCCATATGAATAATAAGATCTGACATCGAGAAATGCAATGAATGACGGAGGAAATCTTGGCAGTGCCACAAGCAACAAAACATTCCCTCAGCAGCGAGGACTCTACAAATAACCCCCAACGTTATCAAAAAGTGGCTCATTTACGTCTGGTTTGAAGCAAATTTGCTTCGAATGTTGCTAAAGTTTCTTATTTGAACGACTGATTCTTTTCTTAATAAACAGAAGTGAAAACAGTAGAGAAGCAGCGCGAGGATGCTGCCAGTTCGGTGCGAGCGGTCACACATATGCGCTACTCTGACTTAAAGAGACAGTTCCCCCAAAAATGACATTTCTATCATTTATTCCCCCTTATGTTGTTCCTAAAGCAAAAGCTACGTCTTTCGACTAGGAGCACAAAGGGAGAGCGGAATGCCTTAGTCACTATTCACTTTTATTGCATCTTTTCAAAAGAATCAAATGAATGGGGACTGACCCTGTCATTCTCCCTCGCGTCTCCTTTTGTGTGCCATTAAAGACAAACAGATTTAAAACAGCACAGGGAACAGTTAAACTACGACAGTGGCAATTGTATGTGAACTGTCCCTTTAAAGCCAATTCTCTGCTTCTGATATCAAACCAAAAGCGTTATTGCGTATTGCTAAACTTTAATGAACTCATTCACAGGCTGCACGAAGCGGAGGTGATGATGTTCCCGGTCCGTGATGCGTCGTAACTGCTCTTGTTTTCACAACCCATATCAATGACTTGCAAACTCGCAAAGGCTCAAATTGACTGCGAGTGTGTGATTTGACAACCACATATGAGCAATCTAACTGAAAGGAACTGCGATACAAATCCTTTACAGTAATCCATCCAAAAGGGAGCTGCTATTTCAGGACAATGATGCTGCTGAGCTTTGCTTGCAGTAAAGGTTAGTTTATGTTCAGCTTTCCAAAAGATGGGCAACATATAGAGTGCTCTGCGGCTTAATTTAAGCGCTGGTAAAACAATGTTAGTTTTTGTATGGAAGTGAAACATCCCGCTTCTCCCGCATGAGAGACCCGCGGCAAAAAACCAACCGGGAAACATCTGCAGACTTTACCGCGTCAAAGTTAAAAGAAAGGGTCAGAAAAGAACCTATGATTCAAACACTTCAGTTTGAAGAACACACATATAACTTTGTAGCACATCGGGTACTTTGAATCGAGACGCCTCACTGTGTACAAATGTCCGCACGCAGCGAATGTCCGTCGCGCTTGCTGAAAACCTTTTTTTTGTCATAAGCACACAAGCAGATGAATCTAAAAGCACAGTTCCTACCTGTGTGGATAGCTGCCGAAATGGTGATTAAAATGAGGAGAGTAGCGAGAGATCCGTTGCTCGTGTTCGCCATGTTGGACACCTGCTTCATTCTGAAGCTCGTGAGTGAGTTGGGCTTCACCTAGAGCAACGGGAGCTGCGCGTGAGGAGATGCTAAAGGGCGGGAACAAATGCCCATTCAAAAAGAACGTCAACACATTTAACCGTGCCACTAGAGGATTTTTTAGTAGATATGTTTGTTTCTAAAAAGAAAGATACATTATCAGAAGAGGCCCATTTGTTCTTCTACAACTAAAACTATATTAAATATGATGCCTATAGTATCAACATATTATAGTGCAGTAGGTAGGCCTACGCTTTTTTTTTTACTATAAATGGATATTTGAATAATACTATATATATATATATATATATATATATATATATATATATATATATATATATATATATATATATGTGTGTGTGTGTGTGTGTGTGTGTGTGTGTGTGTGTATATATATATATATATATATATATATATATATATATATATATATATATATATAAAAGCACATGTTTAGCTTTAATGCAGCAATAATTTTTATCTGTGTCAATAATATTGATTTAATTATTGCAAATTATAATCATAATTATTATGATTGTTTTGACTACTATTATGTGAGTATTATGAGTAATTGCTATAACTACTAATTATAATTATGAATACATAAATTAGTAAATAAAAAAACTAATTTGGAATATTTAATTAGCATTTATTTTGTAAAATTATTATTATTATTTATTAATATTACTAAAATATTTTAATATTACCTGTAAATATAATTGGTAATACCACATAAATAATCCTTCAGCACAAGGTCTTTAGAGAAAAAGGGTGCCTCTAGTGGCGTTTCCTCACTGGCCTCTCGCCCTCTCTCTTTCACACACACACATTCTCTCTCTCACTTACACCCACCCACCCACTCACACACGCACATACTCTCTCTCTCTCTCTCTCTCTCTCTCTCTCTCTCTCTCTCTCTCTCTCTCTCTCTCTCTCTCTCTCTCTCTCTCTCTCTCTCTCTCTCTCTTCATGATATTATTTTGAAAGAAATTTTAAAGTTACACTGTCTTTACTAAAATAATACAAACCTAAACATCAGACGTTAGATTTGATAGACTGTGAACACAGGTAATAAAAATGCAATAACAGAAAATAAAAATCATGAAGAAGTAAATGAATGCAGAAGGGACTTGAATATAGCATATCAGAAGCACACTGATATGCGTAATCAGCTCATAAGTATTCAGAGAAAAAGACTTCCTCTGGTTCAGATATCTCCTTCCCCAATATGAAAGGGACTTCTCATCAACATAATTATGTTGACTTTTTAATATAAGTTAATTGGGTGCTTTCTCAAATTGACTCGCAGTTGGAGCCAGGGTTGCAAATTGATAAGGTAATCCAGGTAGCTCTACCCTTGGTGGCTCATTATGCTAATTCACTTGGAAGGCTCACAGGGCAAGTGCTTTGATTTTCTGGAGATGAACAGGAATTAAAGAAATGTTTATACAAGATTCAGATTTTGATGATACACCCTAAAGCTTAAGGCTGAACATGCCTTACTGGGTCGTTTTTTACAGTAATTGTGGAAAGATTTATTCTTAGGACGTAATGACTGATGGGCGCTGGAAATAAAGCCGATATGTTTAGAATCTGTGATAAGACCAAAAGTAGAAGTAAGCAATGAACTGCTTCCTCGTGGAGTTTTTGTCCCATGAGGTTAGTTTATAATAAGCATAAAGTTTGGTCTGCTTTAGTTATGCAAAGATCAGGGAAAGGTTACTAGCATTAAGATTTTTATTCTGTATTCAAGATTCAAGCTAGCATGTAGGATCAAAGCTGCATCTTAAAGTTTTATGCAGCCATGAGATGCATAAGCACTCTTTCACAACCATCAGACGCACTGTTGTCAGTGATGTAAAATACATTTTAGGGTACACCTTTCCTTTAAAGAATATCAAAGCTTGTGTTAGATGAAAGAAACACCCCAGAGTGGACAACAGACTTTGCTTCTCATGCCAGAAACGAAACAGTCGTGTTTTGACCTTGCTGTCCTAAAGGTTCACTAGTTTCTTCAGATAAATCTCGGTGAGAGGTTTTTAGTTAATGAAACCTTCCTGTTAGTTATTGATTTGCCTCAAGGGTTTTGTTCTTGCTTTCAAATAAGTGATATTCATTTGGTATCAACACTAGAGTGCACACATTGTCCCATGATACTAACTCAGCAGGGCTCCTCTATAATTATTCATTTAATGACTTTCCCAAAGCACACGATTGTGACAGGAGGGGGAAAATGATATTAACTCTAAATGAAGGGTTTGTACAGTAGAAAAATTTGGCTCAGAGGATGAATAACTTATAAAATAGACTATTCTTCAAAAACAATACTGGTTTAGTTTTTCATGTACTGTATGTGTGGATATGATGAAGTACACAATGTTATATCTAATTTTATCTGTAAAAAAAATATATATATATTTTTGTTTATACAACAGTTCTGTCTGGTTCTCGAATCAGATTGGCTGATAGCTGTGCGATATTCTGTAAAAACAGCACTAGTCCAGCCTCTTAACCCTTCCCCCTTGTGTATTACTCTGCCCACAACAACCAGAGGACACTTTATGATTTGACAAATATTCCTACTGTTAGGCAGCATAATGTACTTTTGAGGCTTTTTTAGTCGAGAATGTAGTTGTTTAGATTGCAACTATGCAGTTTATTTATAAGGGCAGAGCCTATTTTAAAATATTTATAATTTCTAAGAGACCATTAGCCTGCCATACTGAGCTGACCAAAAATGGTTGATGTTGTCTTTCCACAAGATGGGACAGGACCACATAATAAGTCCTTAGAAGATTAAAACAGCCTAATTTTTCAACTATAGCTGATCAAAACCTTATTAAACTGGTAGGCCAACACTCCCGTTTTTCCTGGGAGGCTCCCATTTGTCAGACTAATCTCCCACAAGCCTCCTGTTTTGTTATCTCTCCCGAAAAACTCCCATAATTTCACTGTGGTCTCGTGCCAACGCACACCTCCCACTAGTGCTGATATACAGCCATATCGCCCTGCTACTCATGTGATATTGCTCATTTAAACAAGAGTTCTGTCTGGTTCTCGAATCTGATTAACTGATAGCTGTGCAATATTCTGCAATGTAAGACCTCGTACAGCCTCTTCACTCTTGTGTATTACTCCGCCCACATAGAGTGACAGCAGACCAATAAACTCACTTTGACAAATATTGCAGCTGTTGAACAACATAATGTACTTTTTAAGCTTTTTTAGGTGAGAATGTAGTTGTTTAGATTGCAACTATGCAGTTTATTAATAAGGATAGTGCTTTTAAAAAATATATATTTATAATTTCAGAGATACAGCGTGCCTGCATCTATCAGCCTGTCATAGATCAGAGCAAAGACAGTTGACGTTGGCCCAGTACCAATTCTATTTTTGTATCCCTAACCCTTCCCCTTTCCCTTAGTCCGTAAAACCGAGTGTGAAGGGAATGAGCTTTAAAATTTATCCCTAAGAACTGGGACAGCACTACAGTACCTGCACATATCATCATATGTCATCGTGAGCTCTTGCTTCATATGAGATTAGATGATCGCTACTGCTGTAGTTATTTCAGTTGTGTTATTATTTGGTATTTATCTTCAGGAAATCACTGAAGGCATAAATTCTGTTATCATAATAATCTAATGTGGCAATAAGATAGTATCTATACTGTGCATTTACACAGTGGCCATATTCATCTTCCGTCAGATAACACACAAAAAACAACATTAACATTATAGCAGGCACTGTAAAAGGCCACTAGACTTTTCTGACAGGGTGTTCGAGTGTCAGAATGTTGTGGGACTGCTATACAGGAGTTATGAATTATAGATCACAATATTTAGCGGTTTTTATTTTTGTGCTTTTTTTTACATCATGGTAAAACATGAATGCGTTTGTGAATATATTAAAACGTGCTTGTTTGTTGTATAAATTCGTCATAATGACAAAAATACTGATTTGTGGATCTGACGTGTGTGAAGTAGCAACGGTTTCTGCTGTTTTGTCATCAATTGCAGAAGTGAATGAGTGGTGGAAGAAAGAAGCTCCTCATACAAAATATTTTTTAGACTCTCCGCGTTTGATTTTCTTTTTTTATATAGACGATTATACCGTCAAACTGTTATATGCCGATATGCAAAGCAATATTGCTGAACATCATCACTGGTGGAACACTAAACACACAACGCACAATGCACGCCTCCCACCAGTGCCAATGTGCAGCCATATCGTACTGTTACTTATTGCTCATTTACTATAATTGTCAGATCAAGAACAAAAGAGGAGAGGCGAGAAGAGAAATGTTTGTGTCAAACGGAGCCAGTTTTTTTCTCAAGGTTTTTTCCTTCACTTTCATCAATTGGCGAAGTTTGACTTGCTTGGTTTGGGACTTGTGGAGCTGCACATTAATGGATTTGCTCTTTAGTGTTTGCACTTTCAAAAGTGAAATTTAAACAACACTGAACTGAACTAGGGTGTAACGGTGGTGCAGTGAGTAGCACGATCGCCTCGCAGCAAGAAGGTCGCTGGTTCAAGTCCCGGCTAAGTCAACTGGCATTTCTGAGTGGAGTTTGCATGTTCTTCTCGTGTTAGCGTGGGTTTCCTCCGAGTGCTCCTGTTTCCCCCACAGTCCAAAGACATGTGGTATGGGTGAATTGAAAACTGGACTGAAGCAGTTTTAATTTAATACTAATTCTATGTTAAGCTGCTTTGACACAATCTACATTGTAAAATCACTTTAGAAATAAATCGAATGGAAACAGTAATGGACCCAATTTGCATTTTTAAAATGTGCATACAACATGTCTACACTTCTTCTACTGTTGGTAAACATTAAGTTATTTTGGCACTGACATAATGTCTGCGAGCTCTGCCAATAGATGCATAGGTGTTGACAGAAACATTTCAAAAATTGTGCAATTTTTTTCTTTATTGCTGCATCATCAGAATGATTGCATCATCAGAACGACACAAAGCACAGGGACCTTTGTGGCAGCGGTCTGATTATTCAATAGCTTTAACGTTTGTTTAAACAGTTTAATATTT